ACTTTCAAAGAAAATCCGCGCGAATAAGAATATAATATATGAGCACCAAAAAAAGCTATTTTAAGATAACATTAAAAGAGCTGTTGTTTTCACGCGCTTCTAAAAGAGCATAACTTTGCATATCTGCAACTGCATATCAAAGTGATAAAAAGTAAAGATAAAAAGAGCGGTATATATTTAGATATTCTCTTCCATACTTTTCAAATCATCGTATTATTTATTAACTATAATATGTAAGACGTATCAGGTGTGTTGTACAAAAACAATGCTCCCGTTAAGGATAATAAACGAATTCCGTTTCTTACGTGTTTCATTCTTAACGCGTCATACATTTTATATGTTCATACATACGAAATATATACAGTGTGTATATTTTTAGCATAATCGAAGCATCGGATGCAAAGATTAGAAAAATTATTCAATGAGTAAGTTATATGCCTTTCTGTCAGTTAGTATTGTTAGCAATGCACCAATCGCATATGATAATTAACGAATAAAATATATTGAAGAGAAACACATAGAAAAGTGCATAAACATTCTTTATTTTCATAACTGAAGGAAAACAAAATGTCTCGGATATTTGTTGCATTTCTGCAGCATTTATCGTGGTTAGGCTTGTCTGACATGCGTTATTTGCATCCTGATCTACGATTATCTAAATTTCTATTTTGATTGACTTTGTAATTAAATTCAGCTCAAGATATCGAAACTTATTACTATCAGACATATCCTCCTTGTCTTACAAATATAAAATATAATCATACGTGAAATATTTATAAAGTAACAGTATCGCGAAAATTTTAGATTCTTTTAAAACATTTGCTTATAGTAAAGTATCTGCTTATCAATCACCAATCTTAATTTGATTTTAACGTGCTAAAGTCTTCCCGATGTCTTCTTCATGTACCTATATGTTTCTCTGAAGTATATTATAATTTTCAAGTCACAATTCCTCAAATATTTTTAACAGAGATGTATAACTGATTAATGATTATAGAATACGTTTGATGTTAGATATATGTTGATAACAAAAGAAGAAATAACAAACATAAAAGATAACAGGGAGATACGCCGATAATAATCTGTCTCGATTCAAAATCTTGTATGTATATTTATATATGTCTGACTTATACTGTTATAGCTTGCGGAAAATATTTCTCGTTTCTCTGCAATATCCTTAAACGTTAAGAAGCTACTATTATTATTATTATTATTATTATTATTATTATTATTATTATTATTATTATAAGTAATCGAGTCTAGTCCATTTATTAAAAAAGCAAATTAGTAATGATATATAATAATGTATGCTTAAATTGTGATAATATTCTCGTCGAGAAGCTGATTTAATCGACAATCTTATTATAAGTTTTTTTTGGTGCATTAACGTATAAATGTAACTATAAGAAAGGAGATAATATGATATATTTCCGCGACATATGCATTGACAGTCGTTTCTACGAACATTGAGTTATGATCGCGAGGATATTTTGACGATCTAAGCATTAATGTATATTCATTGTATATTTGAAGTAAGGTATCTTAATAATATAACGAGCATAAATTAAGATAGTCAATATAGATTCTCAACCAACTATTCATATAGACCGAGAACACGTACCTTATTTTCCAACCATTTACTCGCAGAAAGCTGCAATTAAAACTCGATTAGATTCAGCGTACTGCATAGCAGAAATTACGCTGCTTAGGAATCGAGTAATCTCGTCGAAGAAGCTCAGAGAAATTCGCTTCTTCGAAAATTTTGAACGGATTCTGCGTGAGAGAAAAAAGTTAAGGTTATTCCTTTTAAATATGAAGCGTCACATAAAAAAAATTATAAATTCGTCGTTCGAGAGTATAATTCTTTTTTTCTTGCAGTAAAATTATTATTCTAAAGGAAATTATTATTATTATTCTAAGGAAAAATAGCTCTATTTAATATCGAACTATAATTTCACAAAAAAATTTAATGACATTCTAGGTGTCTAATTTGTTATATCAAATCATCTATCCTAGAAATCTTCACGTTTTTATATTAAATATTTCAAGAGACTATTAATTTATAAAAAATTATTTACTTTTATCTAAATGCTTTGTTACAAAACTGAATAAAAATATTTTCATTGTTACTTGCATCTAAATGAATATGAAAATTTAATATATATGTATATTTGCATAAAAAATATAATATATAATATAATTGTCTCGAACGGAAAAACATATATAAATATCAAATAAATTATTTTGGACTCATCAGCAAGAATTTATTTATTTAATAATTTTTGCAAACAGTGTTTTATTTTATATGTTTGAATGTATCGAAGTCGAGTAACAGTACCATGCCAAACTGAATTTTGAATCTTGATCACTCCATCCATTTTTCTCTGATATATCCTATAGGATCTAGCTATTATTAACACCATTGCTAATAATAAGTTCTACAAGTAAAATTAAAAAATTGTATCAAATGTTTATATATATGAAATAAATTATGATAATGCAATAAAATTAGTGTTTTATCAATTTATGTGTCTCTAATGTCTTTATCAATTTTTTTCTTTTTCAAAACTATTTCAAATTATTATATTGCCATATTTGAAATTTTACATTTTTGTAAAATTTCTTATTTCTGAATTTTCATTATTCTTTTTTATTCAGTATGATGTGTACTATCTACCATGAAAATACTTTATTTTATATATCCTATATACGCATATTTACGAAACAGGATACTAATAAATCATAAAATTATACTAAAAGTACTATATTAGTATACAGTTTGTTACTTTCAATTGTTTAAATGTCATAAATTTTTACAGCATGCGAACTTTCATTCAATATTTCGTCGATAAAAGCTATTTTGACTGGGACGCACCGACTGCATATTTTAATATCAGTCGGTATACTTTTGGATTCGATTAATCGATTGTGCAGTCCATTGCCGATACCGCGTATTCGTTTAAGTGGCACCGTATAGATATATATTGGGTATAGATATATATATATACATAAAATAAAGTTCACGTAATTGTTCAAATTTAAATAATTAAGAGTAAGAAACTAATAATATATCACTAATTTTATGATTTATTAGTTTCATAGACATGTATATATTTTTAAAACTCATCAATACTACATTTTAATTTATTTAAAACTTCGATTATTCGATATTTAATGTTATCATCCAAGTTTGATTATCAATGGAGATAATTACTGTAGAGAAAAAAATTGTAATTTGAGGCAATAATATTACAGCATTACAAATATCTATACTTATTTATACTTATTTATATAATAAAAAATTATGAATTT